CTGATTTCCACGTGCAAGTTGTTGATTATTGCATTCTTAATGGGTTATCGCCATGTTTGTTTGATAGTGTGTTGAGAGACAGCATGATGATGATGTTATAAGTCGGTTGCCTGATGACATTCTCCTTGTTATCCTATCTTCCCTCCCATTGAAAGAAGCTGGGCGCACAAGTGTTCTTTCATCTCGCTGGAGAAACTTGTGGAGTTACACCTCATATCTCTACTTTGATGACTATAGCACCATGGAGAAGATTATCCAAGAAGCTGTCCGCACAAGGGTTTTTCGCTCTCTAGAGAGGGAAAGGGAAAGTTTTGCAAGGTGGGTGGATTCGGTTCTCCAACCACACAGAGGATTCAGCTTGAAAGAATTAAGAATATGTTTCAGTTTAAGCCAATCACCGTCAATTACAAAGTGGCTTGAATTTGCTTTTACGAGGCACATCGAGAAGTTGGAATTGAACTTTTCCGGTCTTCATATCCCAGATGAAAGTTACGTGTTAACTCAAGAGTTATTACGGGAAAATAGCGGAATTTTCAACTATAAAACCTTAAAGGTGTTGTGCTTAGACTGCATTAATGTCTCTGGTGAAGCTATCGAGTTTCTCTTACGTTACTGCCCATTACTCGAGCAGATAGTTGTCTGTGCCTCCGAATTATTGACCAGTCTTGAAGTTTGTGGACCATCCCTTGTGTTAAAGCATTTGAAGATATTGGGATGCAATTTGAAATCCTTACGAATTTCTGCTCCAAATATTACTACGCTTATACTTAATAATACAATAGAATCCCTCTTGCTTGAGGATGTTCCAATGCTTCGTGACGTTTATTTGAACATTGGATACCATCATGTTGATCCTATGATTGTACAAAGGCTAATTCCCACACTGCGTTGCTGTCTTTCCCAATTGGAGATTCTCACCTTGAACATTTATCAGAAGAAGGTAAGCTGTCTTTATTATTTTATTTATATTCACTTAGTGGAGCCTATTGATGGTAAAGTAAATATGGCATGGTTAATTTCTGTCTTTGCATTATAAAACATAATAATAGAGCCCTATTGCGGATTTGCCAACTATTAAATTTGGTGGCTAACACAATACACGAATGGTTGTCAAACCAACTATTAGAGATTCATTGTTTGAAGCTTATTTGGTTTTATAGAAAATTTTGGGTTAAAACAAACTAAATAATTTATAACGTTAGCATCTTTTGAAATTTGCATTTCAATACTTTAGCATCCATTTTTATTTTTAATAAATGTCTTGTGATGACTTTTTTTCCATATGCTTGCTTTCTTAGCATTTTGGTTATGTAAAATTTGCCGATAACCATTTTTTGTATAAGGACAATATTATAAATTATTTAGAGCTTGTTTGGTAACACTTCTCAAAAGTCCATTTGGATAAGTATTCATGTTTGGTGCTAATTTTAAGAGTGGACTTATGAATAAGTTGTTTCCCCAAAAATTCCATTCTATAGAAGTAAAGGAAGAGGACTTCTGGAGAAGTCTATTTTCCATGAGTCCATTTAAGATATGGACTTTTCCAAAAGTGCACCGAAACAAGCACTTAAGATAATCTTCCGATAGTTTCTGACTGAACTATCTTTTGGCATGTCATGTAATCTTTCGATACCTGAAATGGGACTATTTTTCTTTTGTGAAAGATATTGAGCGCTACAAATATCCATAAATATATTTACAGTTTGAGCAGGAATTGTGAAATTGTGAGAAGTTGAATAATTTTTCAAAAAGTAACTCAAGTGGAAGGTTTATAAAGGAAGGCCCAGTGAGCCTGTATATGCAACTTGCCAGTTGATATCTTTATTTATTGTTATTGCAGGAGGTTCTAAAGAGGCTCAATTTCCCTGTGATGCCTAAACTTAGGAAGTTCGTCTTCATTAAAATTTTATGTGGAGTGGACTGGAGTCTTCTTGACCTAGCTCATTTTATCAAAGCATCTCCGAACTTGCAAGAATTTGAGTTAAAGGTTAGTCTATCCCAAACATGTTTGAAAACACTATCCCTACAATCTCGTGTAAACTGGTCATCATTGAATGGCTTGTACATTTTTTTCTTAAATTTTAAGTGTTATATTAATGTATGAACTTCATTATATTTTCACTTATATTAGCAGCAAGAATGGTCTGAAGCTGAAAGGTCAGATAGAGAAATTCAGAAGGGAGTTAAGCAGTTTCCACTGCACCAGCACTTGAATGTTTTTCGGTTTTTAGGTTATTATGGTTGCCCGAGTGATGTTGAATTAGTCAACTACTTGTTGGAGAATTGTGTCGCGCTTAAGGAGATCATTGTTGATACCCAATCTCTGCCTCGTCCGATCTATGGGCCAGTTGATCCTGAAGAATTAAAATTGGCCGAAATAGCAAAGAGTTATGCTAAACAGCAGCTGGAGCCGCTAGTACCTAAGCACATTAGGTTATTTATATGTTAACCATTTCTATTTTTGGACCGAATTGTCTGACCAAGTGGACCGCAAACTGATTTATTGATCAGTCTGGTTGGTTGAATAAAATGTTTGTTTGTGAATATATCGACACTAATCGGTCAAACTGGTAGGATTTATACAATTTTTAAATAAATTTCCTAACATTTAAATTTATTTTTAATATGAATAAAAATATATATTTAAATAAAATAAATCTTAGTACAATCAATAATGTATTGACCAAATAACATAATTGGTTCGATGATGGTTCAGTTCTGAGAAATTTTGATTTACCATACATTAATAAAGTATTTTTAATATGACACTTTCGAATTATCGTAATAAAGTATTTTTAATATGACACTTTCGATTTAGTTTCAATAATCGATTTGGTCTGTCCGAACTGACCCGTGATCAAGGGTCAATCCTAGTTGTCATGCTTTTAGATTATTTTAAATATCACCTAAAAGTAATTTAATCAACCTGATTAATAACTTATTTCCATCACTCGATTGATTCAATGAAATTTTCTTATTTTTCTTAAATATATTAATTTTGTGAAATAATTCATGTAACAAATGTTTATAATAAATAAAATTAGTAAGATGGCTGATTATATATTTAAAGATAAATGAATTATTTTTTACTTTATAAATATTTATAAAACTTATGCTTTTAAAGAAAAATTCTTTCCGATAAAATATACAATGCTAAAAAGGAAAATAAAAATTGTATAGAATTTTCTTTTTTAGTAGCTAAAGTGTTTAATGAAAAACTCCACCTCTATTTTAAGTAAATACAAATATATATATATATACACACGCGCGCACACACACCCACCCACACTCACACTCACACACATACACACACACACACACACACACACACACACACACACACATATATATATATATATATATTATTGGCAAACTGAATAATGTGGATGTGACCGTTCGTTCTACATTTTACTCCATATAAAGTAGCTTTTTACCCTCTTTATTTTAATATCAAAATTTAATTAAATTAGATATATTATTGTACACACATTTAATAATTTACTATCATCATACAATTAATAAAAATAAAATTTAAATAAACATAACAATATTTATATAAAGATTATTTTTTTCACTAAACCACGTATGTAGTATTTACTAAAATAGTAACTAAGTTTGAAGAAAAAAATTAATTTGTAATCTAAGTCGCTGATTAAATTATAGTTTTTTGGTATTTATTTGTACACACTTTGTCAAAAAAGAACATGTCTCCTTGTGATCTTTTATATGTGACACATGGGACTAGTATAAACAAATAGCTAAGACAAGCTATATACTATTTTATACTACAACATAAAAATATAGATATGTTCTTGTCGACATCCGATCTGGCGCACACGTAAACAGGCGATACGTGGCATCCAATCACCTAATGACAATTCTTAAGTATCAAAAGCTATGGCGAGATTAATCAGACATTGTTAAGCATCTCAACAAACAGCTCGAAGGAAATGAAACCCAGACCAAGACATCCGACCTCCTTGATCGGGGTCGGACTGTGAGACATGGTGACATGAAGGTCAACTAAACCAAGCCCGTATAATGCACCATAAGAAGATCGATTTGAACTTTTCATCAGTCAGCTTCGTAGCAGAAGAAGAACATCCCTCCCAGGAGTCGCGCTTACCATAGCAAAAAAGGACTCTTTCCACACCTGAAAATCGCATGTTTTGCTCCAGCTTGTCAATTACATCGAACCTGCGGTTATGAAGGCAGGATTGCCCAAGCTCGTTCCGAAAGACCCCCACCTGACTACCTATACTCAACCCACTAAAGGAAGAGGACGGTAATATAGGCCAAACTCTAACAGATCGTTAAATGATGAAAAGACATGCGTCAGTTATTATGTGGAAAAGTAACCGGCTAATGTCGGACCCACCCAACGGTTCTGGACCTTGCCATCGCATTGCATTAAATGGTAATTATACCAGTAACATACAAATTTTGAAGGTTGTAACCGTGTGTTTCATAGTATAAATACCCCACAATTATTAGATAGAAAAAGATTGATGTTCAGAAATTCATGTATTCCCAAAATACTCTACAACTAGATATAACAATCCGAGTTGTTATGCATATACAAATATGAGGTAATCCAACATCATTCTATATTCGAACATGTTTATCTTGTTTTATTTGCATAACCAGTATAATATCCGTGTACTACACGGATGGTTGATAAAATAATTAAGTGTAAAACAAAAAGTTAACAAAATATATATTTTATTGAAGTTGAAAAAAAATAAATAAGGAACAATATATAACAATTTATAATAAAGAACTAAGTGAATTAACAATATTATTTTAAATTTTAAAAACTAATTTATATACATCATTAATTTTATTTATAAAAATTCTATTTTGAACACATAAGGAAATAATATGGACAAAACACCAATTTTGGAAAGTAAATTATATGCACATTATAGAAAGAAAATAATAAATAAATTTATATGGAATAGTTTAATTATGTGTAGATATATGACAATCCGAACCTAAGCTATTTGGTATAAAAAATTCATAATTTTTATCCGAGCCATATTAAAAACCATAATATTTTGTCACATAAGATTACGAAACATGCGAAACTGCCAATTAAACTTAACGCATTCTGAAATCATATATAAAGAGGATAATGCCCTTATTCACACGATATCTCTTAAACTCTGCTTAATCTTAGGGGATTTCTTTAAACCCGTTGGATCTCAACGATCAAGTTGATCCAACAGTTAAATTTTAAAAACTGAAAGTTGGAGGCCGGTTCGGCTTCAAAACTGCACCTGGACGGGGAATGTACATAACTAACCTTTTCATAAAAATCAATTCCATAAAATTGACCGAATATACACAATTCCAAATATGCTTGAATAGAAAGTTACAACATTTAAAAATTCAACTGCTCTCATCTTTTTCTCTCTCTCTTCCTTTCTCTCTCTTCCTCTTTTTTCTTTCTCTCTCTTTCTTCTCACTCCCACGTCTCGTTCCACTTTTTCTCTCTTCTTTCCTTCTTCTTCTTCTTACCTAAGAATAAAAAAAAATCAATATGTTATATATATACACGTAACAATTAAATTAAATAAAAGTATGAAAAAATTGTTAAATTAAATTAACAATAACAATAAGAATAATAAAATAAAATGCATACATATAAATTATAGTCATTCAAAAAATTGGATGAATACGAAGAATTAAAAAAGCATTCGATGTAACAACAAAAAAATAACATAACAATAGTTAATCAACATGAAAACAACATTTAAGTAACATAAAAACAACTGTTATCGTATAAATAAAAAAAACACATTTGAAGAGCATACTCGATCCCATGGCTTTGTCACATGTTTAACTTAAGTGACAAAGCTTCATAGTGCGAGAACGTATCAGGATAGTACAAATCAATTGCCGCAAGTAAGTATACAAAATTAGACAAATCAATATCCTTCAAAATTTGAAAACTAAAATTCGACATCTACTTTCGGAAAAGCTATAATTCAAACCACATCTTTAACATACACTGAAATTTGATAAATTTACAAACAATTCAACTCTGAGTTTCCAAAATAAATTATGGGAAAATTCAATTCCAAACCCCATTTTTGGCCGCACAGATTCAATAAAAAAATAGAAAAAACACATCAAATTTTACCAACATAGTATAATTAATTCCAAAATCAATTGTTCGTTAAACTAAAATCAATTTACACATGAATTTACACAACAAACACACAAGGATTGGAATCTATTCTTCCTTACCAGAGCTTGGTGGTGGTGGACATGAGCTTCAAGTTATGAGTTACAACTTGAGCACTACGGTGGCCGCCGGGAGGGCCCTATTTGGATTTTGTTCGTCTGTTTAGGGGCCTAAACAAACCGTTTATTCCGATCTGTCCGGATTGGAGCCTTGGTGTCAAATATTTTCCTTCAAAACGAGCCGGAACCACCCACGCAATATTTCAATCGCCGATTGTCAAGATTGGAGCCTCGATGTCAAATATTTTCCTTCAAAATGAGCCGGAACCACCCACGCAATATTTCAATCGCCGATTTTGATCGCTGATTAATTGGGAAAGCAGTACAAAAAATTTGGTTTTTTCACGAGTGTGCGCTTGAATTTAGAAGAAGAAGAGGAAAAGAAAAAAGAGATAAAAAAATGGAGGAACAGATTGGGGAAAGAAAACTGATTACCTGCGATAAAGGAAAAGAAAGAAACGTGTAAAAAAAAGGAAGAGAGAGAAGAAATGTGTAAATAAATAATTAAAATGAAATAAACAACCGCCATATTTTTAATAGCATGTAATCGTCCATAAAAAGAGTATAAATGGAAACAGAATGGAGGGTTTCGTCTACATAATAATTAGGATTAATTATGTAAATTCTCTGAGTTAATGGATACGGGGTGTCATTAATTCCACCTGGACCCGATCCAGACCCGGAACCAAATATATAAGAGGAAATTACATCCTGCACTGCACATTAACATTTTTATTACATATTTACAACTCATATATATTTATTTGCAAATTAACTAAAAGTATCATATATATTTACAAACATACTAGATTATTAAGCAACAATTAACTATTTTTAATTATGGTAAAAACAGATTTAATGGGATCTTTATCACGACACTTTTTCTCGCTCTCCCTATCTATTCTTCTTCTTCTTCTTCTCTCCCCCCCCTCTCTCTCTCTCTCTCTCTCATTATCTTCTTCTACAAATCCGCCGGTTCTTCTCACCCACCGCCCCTTCGCCACTTCGCCTTCTCCCATCCATCCATCCCCGCCGCGAACGCCTAATCTCCACCGTGGTTCAACGACCTCCGATATAGACGATTAAGATCTAACCGCCCACCACCGCCCTTTCGCCGCTGCTCTATCCCGAAGACTTCCGCCTCAAAGACCAAAGACTTATAAAGATGCTATCTTTGCCGACAATTCAAAACCTGAAGCAAATGTTTGCATAAAACCCGTTTAGTATGTGCAAGTTACAATTCTTTTGCATATCTTGAATTGAGTCTGCTTTTTTTTTTTGTCTGCAGATCCTCGTGAAACTATTGTACTTGTGTCCATAGTATTTTCTTCTTTTTTTCCTTTGTTTTTTTTCCCCTATTGTTCGTGAAACTAATGCAACGTGAAAGGGGTGCCTTCAATTCCTTTCCCGAACCAATCGATTTGAACCAAGGATCTATTCTCAACAGCAGCACCCCTATGGACCACCACTCATCTTCTTGGATCTATTCTCCGTCAGCCATTTTTTTATTTTTCCATTTTCCATTCACAGGGGTTGGAACTGCATATGAATGATCCAGTCCATCCCAAGCCAAAACCAGTATATGTTACACAAAATATACTTTAACTATACACTCGAGTTTCAATCGTTTCTCAAATATACACAAAATATACTTTAAATATACACTCGAGTTTCAATCGTTTTCTCAAAATCGATTTCAGAACCCACATATACATAAAATATACCTAAGATATACACTCGAGATCACGTACATGAGACGAGCAAACACAAAATATACAGAAAATATACTTTAAATATACATTCGAGTTTCAATAGTTTCTCAAAATCGATTTTAGAACCCACATATACATAAAATATACCTAAGATATACACTCGAGATCACGTACATGAGACGAGCAGACAAGAAGGTCTCAGGCGGTGGTTGAGCAGGTCCAATTGGTCATCTTTTCTTAAATATGGAATATGGAATCAAGATCTGTAACTGATTTTTAGGCAACAATATAATTAATTACTAGCTATTAGGTACATACACAATTAATTGTGTATTAATGGTAATTTTGCAATATTCCTACAATCGTGTAGCATAAGTGAAAATGTCCCAATATATAATAAAAATAAATAAATTTGACCGTAATATATCCAATAGTAAAAAATATCCGCCCAGATTTAATGTGGGCCAACAGTGCTCAGCGAATATAGGCCCAAAATTATTACGGAAAAAAAGAAAAAAAATGTCAAGCTTCCACGGCCAGTTCGGGCCAAGCCTAAAGCGGCCCGACGGTTGAAAAAAGAAAAATATATATCTAGGTGGCCTGAAACTGGCCTGGTCAAATTATATAGTCGGCTCAAGGCCTGTGGACAGCTGTAGGGCAGGTCGGGCTAAAGCGGATGTGGCTCAAATTGCCATTCCTATCCCGAGCCCTGACCACGTTTCAACCCAATCAATCCACGCACTTCACCTCCTTACATCCAACATAACCTAGTTATAACAGGTTTTGTTGCAGCTCGGAGGTAAATCCTCAAGTTGATTCCAAATTCGAACCTTTATTCCAAGTTTGGAACCAAAAAGTCAAAATTTTCAGACCCAAAAAGGTGAATTTTGAGTTGAGATCCAAAAAGATGGAACTTTTGTGTCTGAATAAGGTGAGACCGTATTTTCTATCCGGCAATAAAAAATAGTGAAACTTGATAAGATTTATGCTGTGATTTTTGTTTAACGAAGAGCGTGAATGTGTATGAACTTGTTTGTTTGACCAACAGTGTCATTGTTTTTTTCAGTTGTTGATTATTGCATTCTAAATGGGTTATCACCATGTTTGTTTGATACTTGATAGTGTGGTGAGAGATACCATGGTGATGATTTTATAAGTCTGTTGCCTGATGACATTCTTCTTGTTATCCTATCTTCCCTCCCATTAAAAGAAGTTGGCCGCACAAGTGTTCTTTCTTCTCGCTGGAGAAACTTGTGGAGTTGCACCTCATATCTCTACTTTGATGACTATAGCTCCCTGGAGAAGATTATCCAGGACCCGGATAGTTGCACTTTAAAGAGGGAAAGGGAAAAGTATGTAAGGTGGGTGGATTCGGTTCTCCAATCACATAGAGGATTCAGCCTGAAAGAATTAAGAATATGTTTTAATTTAAATCAATCACCGTCAATTACGAAGTGGCTTGAATTTGCTTTTGAGAGGCACATCGAAAAGTTGGAATTGAACCTTTCAGATGTTGGTTATGGTTATGAATCAGATGAAACATACGTGTTTCCTCAAGAGTTGTTACGGGAAAATAGCAGAATTTTCAACTATAAAACCTTAAAAGCGTTGTGCTTAGACTGCACTAATGTCTCTGGTGAAGCTATCGAGTTTCTCTTACGTTACTGCCCATTACTCGAGCAGATAGTTGTCCATCGCTCCAGAGTATTGACCAGTCTTGAAGTTCGTGGACCATCCCTTGTGTTAAAGCATTTGAAGATATCGATGTGCAGTTATTTGGACTCCTTAAGAATTTCTGCTCCAAATCTTACTACGCTTATACTTAGTAAAATAAAAGGCCTCTTGCTTGAGGATGTTCCAATGCTTCGTGACGTTTATGTGGCCTTTGGAGACTCTCGGCCTTATTCTTTCTATGTACAAAGGCTAGTTCCCACACTCCATTGTTGTCTTTCCCAATTGGAGATTCTCACCTTGGACATTATTGATAGGAAGGTAAGCTGTCTTTCTTATTTTGTATTCACTTAATCGAGCCTATTGATGGTAAAGTAAATATAGCATGGCTAATTCCTGTCCTTTGAAATTTGCATCTCAATACTTCAGCATCCATTTTTATTTTTTAATAAATGTCTTCTGGTGACTTTTTTCCATATGCTTTCTTAGCATTTTGGTTATGTAAAAATTTTCCTATAACCATTTTTGCATAAGAGCAATATTTTAAATTATTTAGAGCTAGTTTGGGAACATTTCTCAAATCGACTTTTTGATGCAAAAGTCCATTTGGATAAGTATTCATGTTTGATGCTAATTTAAGAATGGAATTATGGATAAGTTGTTTCTCCAAAAATGTCCATTCAACAGAAGTAAAGGATGAGGACTTCTGGAGAAGTCTATTTTCCATAAGTCCATTTATGATATGGACTTCCCCAAAAGTGCACAGAAGCAAGTACTTAAGATAATCTTTCGATAGTTTCTGACTGAACTATCTTTTGGCACGTCATGTAATCTTTTTTGTTTAGAACCTGACGTAGTACTATTTTTCCTTTTTTGAAAGAGATTGAAAGCTACAAATATCCATAAATATATTTAAAATTTGAGCAGGAATTGTGAAATTGTGAGAAGTTGAATAATTTTTCAAAAAGTAACTCAAGTGGAAGGTATTTAAAGAAAGGCCCAGTGAGCCTGTATATGTAACTTACCAGTTGGTATCTTTTTTTATTGTTATTGCAGGAGTTTCCATCAACGCTCGATTTCCCTGTGATGCCTAAACTTAAGAAGTTGGTCTTCATGCGAGTCTTATATAGAGTGGACTGGAGTCTTCTAGACCTAGCTCATTTTATCAAGGCATCTCCCAACTTGCAAGAATTTGAGTTAAAGGTTGGTCTATCCCAAACATGTTTGAATATATTATCCCTACAATCTCCTGTAAACTGCTCATCATTGAATGGCTTTATGGCTTGCATTGTTTTGTCTTAAATTTTACATGTTAAATTAATGTGTGCACTTTATTATATTTTCACCTATATTTGCAGCAATCATGGTTTAATGTTGAAAGGTCAAATAGAGAAATTCAGAAGGGAGTTAAGCAGTTTCCACTGCACCACCACTTGAATGTTTTTCGGTTTTTAGGTTATTATGGCTGCCCGAGTGATGTTGAATTAGTCAACTACTTATTGGAGAATTGTGTCGCGCTTAAGGAGATCATTGTTGATACCCAATATCCGGATCCTCCGGCCTATGGGCCAGTTGATCCTGAAGACTTAAAATTGGCCGAAGAAGCAAAGATTTTTGCTAAACAGCAGCTGGAGCCGCTAGTCCACATTAGGTTATTTATATGTTAACCCTTTATGTTTTTGGTTTCTTGTTTAATGCTCAAGTTTTCTAGGTTAGTTATATTAGAACTAGTGTGAGTTATTATCCCATTGTTGTGATGCATTTTTTCATTATTACTAAGTTGTCAAATTTTTATTGCATTTTTTCATTATTATATCACGTAAATTCTTTGTCTTATCTATATCTATCATTATATTAAAAGATTAACCATTTAATACTTTTAGCAAGTTTTTCCCGCCAAATACATTTAATGTCTCCTAAAAATAGAGCAGCATTAAATGTTGCCCTTAAATCATGGCAGTTGTTAATTTAGTTTGGAGAAAATCGTGGCAACTAAAACAAACAACATTAATTACGGCTGATTTAATATTTAAATGGTAAACAAATATTGCTTTTTTATAACTGATTTAAATGTACGTCTGTTTAAAAGTAAAAAACTATATTTGTAATTTCAACAAATTTATACTCTTTAATGTACGGCTGATTTAAAATTAATAATTTACTTTTGTATTTTCACAAAAAATCGTATAAAGAAGTATGACTGGAATAATAATAAAAAATTAATTTGTAAACCATATTTTGCACTCATAGATATGAATTCTCATCAAATTCAAGATTTAAAATTGTGAAGAATGTATATATATGTGGACTGATTGAAGATATATGATTCCTTAAATTAAGGAATTTTTTCCGGTAAAAAAAAATATAAACTTTAAATATAAATTTTATTAGTAGTATATACCAAAGAATACTAGTGCATATCCCATGCGATGCACGGAAGAGTTCATATTTTAAACATTTTTTAGACTTTATTTTAAATATAATTATTTATATTTTTCACATCTCGTCTATTATGAAAATAAAATAAATACAATCAATGAAAAATATATAATATTAAATACTTTTCTTTATACAATATTTTTTATTTAAGGAATATTATTAAACCTTACGATTTTGATTTGTTTTTTTAAATCAATAATCCAAAATATATGATTGTTAATGTACAAAAAATAATGAAAATAATCCAGACTTTAAAGTAAAGCTATTTTTTATTATTTTATAAATAAAAATCTTCCAAATTTTATTTTTTAATTTCAAAAAAAAATTGGCAAGTTTGATAATGAGTTAAATCAAGTAATACAAATGATTAAATAGTTAAAATGTTATATTAATTATATTTTAAGAAATCCGATTATATAAAAATGGGTAAAATATTATACTAATTAGTTTGTTTGGATTGTGATTATATGGAAGTTAAAATAAAATGAAATGTAACCAAAAAATTTGTTCGTGGTTTTTTCCTAAATGTTTGAATTTAAAAATCTAGTAACCAAATTTACATTATATCACGTAAGGAAAAAAATAATAAATATTTATTAAAGAGATAAATCAATAATATTTATCACTTAGATAATAAATAATAAATATTTACATGTAAAAAAATAAATAATAATATATTTAAAAATATAAGTCAGAATTTCAAATAAAGTAAAAGGAGGGATAACTCATTTTTTAAAAAAAGTTTCTAAATATTTAATATATTGATAAGTATCTCCATAAGAATAATCATACCATTTTAATTTTAAAAAAATTGGCAAGTTTGTTAGAGAGATAAATCCGGTTAAACAAATGATTAATTTGTTAAGATATTATATTAATTGTATCATAAAAAATCGGTTAGATAATGTAGATAAAAAAATATAATACTAATTAGTTTGTTAGAAATGCATAATGAAAACCAAGATAAAATGAAATTTACCCAAAAAAATTGTCTGGAATCTTTTCCTTTAAATCTTTGAATTTACAAATTTAATACCGAAATTCTATTATATCACATAAGGAAAAAATAAATAATAAACGTTTATTAATATATTAAAATATGTAATTTTGAATTTCATATAAAGTAAAAGGTATGCTTATTCAAATTTATTTTTAAAATAAAAGTTATTTATGATAAACATTTATTGATTCTCTTTCAAATATATTAATAAAATAAAAATATAAATCTAAACAAATTTTGAAACAACCAAAAAAATCGGATTGATTGGCATAAAAAAAGGAAGTGAAATCGGATTTGAATGCTAAAATCGGAACACCTTACCAAATTGAATGCTAAAAGATTCGATTTGATTGGTTACCTAATTGTATGGGCTGAAAAAATTCAAAAAAAATTTTACGAATTGAAAAAGTGGGAAAAACACTATATTGAAGCGGGAAAACGAAATGATTATTTTCGGATTGTTCAAATAATTTTTCTTCTCCGTATTATATAGTAATAGATTGTTCATTTAAAATCCCTATGAAGAAGAATTCTATTAATTTTCAAATTCAACATCTCATAAAAATAATATAATACACATTTACATTCTATGAAATAATATTTAAAACCCACCGTTCAACATGCATAAAATGTAAAATTACCTAACATGAATCATTTTAACTTTCTAAAGTCAGTACACAATTTGCTCGGTATGTACTAATAGTCTAATAGTTAAGAGTTAATATTTGCTATGACATCTATTGGTTGGAAAGAATTCCATTTTGTATGGAATTCGAAATGTAAAAACATATTCTGAAAATCAAATCTGGTTTAGAGATCGATTTCTTAATGGCCTTAAATTATGCAAATATATTGTTTCAGTTTTTAGGATTCTTTTTTATGATCTCAGTCTTTGCATTATATGAAACCTATACTTATATAAAAAGTCATCCTATTTACTAGAAATAGTAGGCAGAAAAGTCAAAGGTAATCAATGCTTGCTGGAAATAGAATGATATTAATTACAGATTTGTTTTGGTATTTATAGGCTTGACATTAAAGATTTGTTATGGGATAAAAATCAGAACCGATTTTTTTACCTTTGCTAGAAAAGTCAAAGGTTAGTATAGATTTGTTTTATCCCATAGCATCGGTTTAGTTAAAAAAATCCCATCAAATCAGTTTTATATGTCAAGCCTATGAATAAAGATTTAATCGGTCAAAATTAAATCCTTATTTTACGTCACCCATAAATAAAGTAGATGTCAAGCCTAAATTGAAGGGTTTAGTTGTCTATATAGTCATTGATTTACGTAAATACATCTAATGTTTAAAGTTTGTGTAGATTGAAAATTCCTTCTTATCTTTTTACAAAAAATCTTATTATTATTGTATGGAAAATCAAACTTATAATGTTGTGTACAAGGTGGTCTTTAAAAATATATGATTGTTTGTTTGTCGAATACTATCTTATTGTATAATTTTCCTGTTTATTATAAAACTTTTATTGAATATTGCATCTTATAATATAGTATTCCTCAAATAAATGTATCCCGTGCCTCGCACGGGTCACGTACTATAAATATCCCGTACATTT